CAGGCCGTTTTCCTGGGAAAATCTGATTCCTGCAGGATCCAAGAGATTCCAGTTCCTCCATCAAATCCTGCTCCTCTCCTGGAGCCTGCCCGGGCACAGATCCCTCCAAAAATGCTCCAGACACATCCCAGGAAACAAATCCAAGTGGGAATTTTGCCATGGGATCAGCTCTGGATCACCAAATCCAAGCAGGAATTTTGTCATGGGATCAGCTCTGGATTATTCCTCTGCCCAAGGGGGAATATCCTTAATTAGAGGCAGGTTTTTAATTAACAATCAAGCTCAGCTTTGTTGCTTTTCCCTCTTTTCCTGCACTCCCCGACCTTACCTTGCTGGAATTTTTTCCCTTTTCTCTGCAGTGATTTTCCTTCCCCCAAATCCTGCTCAGCTCTGGCCCCATCCCATCCTCTGCTTCCTGGGAATTTTGGCCTTTTCCTTTGGATATCCCCTGCTGCCAGGGATGGAATCCAGGAGCCGTGGCCATGGAGAATTCCCGGATTCCTGAGGGTGGAAAAATCCCTCCAGGATCACCAACCCGTGCCTGATCCACACCCTGAGCACCTCATCCAGGAATTCCTTGGGTACCTCCAGGAATTCCGGGATTTCAAAGCTTTTTGAGCAGCTCCTTCCAAAGCCTGGATTCCTCCTTTTCCAAGAGGAAATTCCTGCTGCCGTCCCAGCGGGATGAAGGGAACATTTTTGGGATCCCCACTTGGTCACCGATTTTTCCAGGTGACGATTTTCCCATCCTGCTTTTTGGCCCTTCCCAAATGTTTGGGAATGGTCGGGAATTCCCGGTGCCGGGATTTGGGATTGGTCAATCCCTGGAGCGGGGACAGGCGGGGACAGCAGGTGGCACTCCCCGACCGCGGGCAGCCCCAAAACGCAGCTTTTTTGGGATTTTGGGGAATTTCAAATGGGATTTTCCATCCTTTTGTGCTGGGATTGGGAATTCCAACAGCTCTGGAGGTGGATTGCTGAAAGGAGCCATCCCTTCTCCTTTAATTTCAATAATTGGCTCCCAAGGGAATCCACTTTGGAATTTGTGCTGGTTTTCCGGTTGGTATTGGAATAACAAACTCGGGATGAGTTCATTTAAATCCCACTCCAGGTTTTAATTCCTGGATTAACTGGGAAAAACAGTGGATGAGGCCGAACCCCTCTGCCCGTGCTCCTGTGGATTTCCTGGAAAAGCTCTGTGTCCCAGGATTTCCTGGATGGGATCATCCATGTCCTGGGGCAGAAGAAGCTGCTGTTCCATGAAAACCAAGATTCTGGGATGTGCATCCATAAAATCCGAGAGTCTGGGATGTGCGTCCATGAAAATTGAGCTCCTGGGATGTGCATCCATAAAATCCGAGGTTCTGGGATGTGTGTCCATGAAAATTGAGTTCCTGGGACGTGCATCCATGAAAAATAGAGATTCTGGGATGTGCGTCTATGAAAATTGAGTTCCTGGGATGTGCATCTATGAAAACCAAGATTCTGGGATTTGCATCCATGAAAATTGAGTTCCTGGGATGTGCATCCATAAAATCCGAGATTCTGGGACCCGCATCCGTCACCATCTTGTCCCTAAAGCCTCCCCACGAATCCATCATTCCCGAGGCTTTCAGGCAGATCGATGTTTTCCCAAAGAGACTGGAGGAACTCATTTTCCCGCTTTTCCATCCTGTGATTCACCAGGATAATTGGATTGCTGGGAATCTCCAGGGAGAAGCCAAGGGAAGGGACCTTCCACAGGGTCTGGAGCGAGGATGAAGATCCAGGCTGGATCTGGGAAGGGATTTCCCTGCTGAGAAACGCCCAAATTCCAGCTGATCCCAGCTCTCCCCTGTCCCAAACGGATCCTGGATTTTCAGGATGCATTTTCCATCCCATTTATGTGATTTTTTGAGTTTCCAACTATTTTTTTTGGGGGTAATTTTGATCACTTTTACACCAGATTTGGTTGTTCCCATAAAGCCAGGAGATGCATCCCAGTTTTCTTTCCTTCATGAGCAAATTCCAAGCTTTTCCTCCTGCTCTCTCCCTCTTCCAGAGGCATCTACATGGAAAAATTAAGGAATTTTGGCCCATAGCCCAAAGAGCTCAGCCCTGTAAATCAGATTTTGTGATGTATAAATCAGATTTTTTGTGGTGTAAATCAGATTTTGTGAGGGCTGTGGCCTCTTCCAGATGGGATTTCCCATGGAAACTGCACCAAAAAAGGGATATTTCAATTCCTTCCCCGCCATTTGTGGCCATGAATGGGAGAGATGGGAAAACCCTTGCAGGAAAAAGGGGAAAAAGCAGAAAAAAGGGGAAAAATCTTTACAAGGCATTGAGCATCTTCAGAAGTGCAGCGTGCCCTTGGATCTCTCTGGAATTCTCCGGGATCAGCATCTTGGAGGAGCAGTCAGCACTGCTGGAGAGGCAGCTCCGGAGTGAAATTCCCTTCTCCCTCCCGAAATCCAGCAGGATCTGGGTGGAAAATGCACAGCCCGGTGAAATCTGATGTTCCCAGAGCTGCAGTGTCAGGGACAAGGTCCCTGACTTCGGTGACATCCATGGAGAAATGTCCCCAAATTTAACTCCTGGATTTTTTTTTTGTCCTTTGTTGCTGATCCTTGAGGATGGTTTGGTTTTTTCCCAGTTGTCCCCATGGCTTTTTCCCAATTTTCCTAATTTTTTTCCCCCAGTATTCCCCATGTCTTTTTCTTGGTTTCCCCCATGTTTTCTTCCCTCTTTCCCCCATGGCTTTTCCCCAGTTTTCCCCAAGGCTTTTCCCTGTTTTTCCCCATGGCTTTTTCCTGATTTTCCCCAGGGTTTTTTCCCTGTTTTCCCCATGGATTTTCCCCATTTTTCCCCATGGCTTTTCCCTGTTTTTCCCCATGGCTTTTTCCTGATTTTCCCCAGGGTTTTTTCCCTGTTTTCCCCATGGATTTTCCCCATTTTTCCCCATGGCTTTTTCCTGGTTTTTCCCAGCTCCCACCAGCTGGAGACAGGTGTCTGGAACTCTGCTCCATCCCAGAATATTCCTGATTGATTTATCTCCCTCCTTTCCCAGCAGCTGCTCCTGTTTTATTCCATTGGGAAATTGGGATTTCCAAACCTGGGGTTTCCAGCTGTGTCCCCACATTCCCCCAGGAAGTTTTTCCCCCTCTGGCGATCCAGCAAATGGAGGGATCCCCATGGAATTTCTGCCACAGGAATTCCTCCCTCATTTCCGTGGGATGGTGACACCTGGAAATGGATTTTTGGGATAAAAATGGAGCGGAAGAGGGGGGGATTCTGCCTCTCTGTCCCCTTGGGTGAGACTCCCCTGCAGAGCTGCTCCAGCCTTGGAATTCCCAGCTGGAATTCCAGGCTGGGAAATCGGGATTGTTCCGTCTGGATGAGGGAAGCTTTGGGATGATCCAGCTGTGGCCTTCCAGGAGCTGAGGGAATGACAGGAAAGATGGAAAAGGATTTGGACAATGGATGGAGTGACAGGAAAGGGGGAATGGGCTCAGACTGGAAAAGGGGAAAGTTCAGTTGGATATTGGGAATAAATCCTTCCCTGTCAGCGTGTGCATGGAATTCCCAGAGAATCTGTCCCTGGGTGTCCCAGAGCACTTTGGAAAAACCTGGGATCATGGAATTGGACCCATTGGATCCACCCAACCTATTCCCTGATTCCTGACTCCATGATTTCCACTGGCATATTTAATATATTTAATTCATACATTAATCCATCTCTAAAATCAAATATTTCATATTTTATATTCCATTCAGCAGCGAGATGAACCCCAGGCTCCCTCTGGCGCTTCCCGACATCCACCTCCATCAATTCCAGCCCTGCAGCCTCAGCAGAAAACCGGGAATTTAATAAAAACCTCGGGAAGGCGAGGCCACAAATCTCCCTGGGAGTGGGGGGAGCTTTAATTAAACAGAGAGCTCTGATGGCCGAGGGGCTGCGGGGACGTCCGGGCTCGGTCACCTCTGCGGGGTCACCCGAGGGGACAGCGCCAGCAGTGCCACCGGTGCCAGCAGTGCCAGCAGCCGATGTCGCCCCCCAGCCGAGCGGTGCCACTCGCGCTCCTCTCCAGCAGCCCCGGGGGACGCCCCTCGCCCTTTTGGGGGGCACACAACACTCCGGGGACCCTCCGCACCCTCGGGGTGACCCAAACTCCTCCTCTCCTGGCCCAAAATCTGAGTTTCTGTCCCCGGATTGTGCGCGGGGCTTCGGGAGGCGTCACCTCCTCGCCTTTGGGGGGTTCTCTGCACCCTCCTTGCCCAAAATCCGCGTTTCTGTCCCCGGATTGCGCACGGGGCTTTGGGAGAGCTCAGCTCCTCGGGGTGACCCAAACTCCTCCTTTCCTTGCCCAAAATTCTCATTTCTGTCCCCGGATTGCGCCTTCAGCCTTGGAAGGGCTCAGCCCCGCGCTGAGCGCCTGCGGCTGCTCATTAAGGGCGCCGCTAATGAGCTCCTCCCCCTGCTCTGCCCCCTCCCCTCCAGCCCGTGCCTTCCTCCCTCCTTTCCCTGCCTCATCCTCCTCCTCCTCCTCCTCCTGCCGCTGCCGCCGCTGCCGGGCCGCGCTCGCTCTCCGCCCGCTCGGGAGCGCGCAGTGCGGCGCGGCCGCGCCCGGGAGCGCGCAGTGCGGCGCACCGAGCCCGCACCGAGCCCGCACCGAGCCCCGGCTGCGGCCACCTCAGCTCCTCCCGGTAAGGACAAACCGGGATGGGGACGCGCCGGGATGCGGGAAGCTCTCCGGGATGCTCGGGGATGCGCACGGGGCGGGGGAGGGGGGGGGTCCGCGCATCCTCAGCGCGGATTTGGGGTCCTAAACGTGCTCGGTGACCCCCAGAATCTCCCGGTTTTTGCTGTCAGGACCCCGGGAGGGGGGAGCTGGGGCATGTGATGGGATTTTGGCTCTTACGTCACGGCTTCGTGTCCCTGCGTGTGACAAAACCCCGCGGTGGCAGTGCGGGGGCACGGCGAGCGCAGCCCGGGTGGGGACCTTGGGGTGACAGCGCAACTTTGGGGCGCCGAGAGCTCGCGGGGGGCGGCGATTGCTCTGCGGGGGACGCGCCTCGCTCCTTCCCCGTCGCCTTCCCTCCGGAAGAACATCCTGGGCCGGAAAAATCCATCGGGAAAACGCACCTGGCTCGGGATGCGGCGCCGGGAAGCGGCGGGGCCCGGCGGCGGGCGGTGAGTGGCGGGTGCGGGATCCGCATCCTCCCGCAGCCGCTCCCGGGGATCGATCCCGATCGGGAACAGCGGGGAAAGTGCTGAATCATTGGGATCCCGGCTCCACGGGCGCTCCCGCGGCTCCACGGCAGCGAGAAGCTCGGGAATAGGGTGAGGAGGGAGGGGAGGCCGTGGGAGCGCTGGGGCCTGGGGGAGAGGGATTGTTGGGATGGAGCGGGGATGGAGCGGGGATGGAGCGGGGTCCTCCCTTTTCCAGGGCCTCAGGTGCTCCTTGGGGGACAGGGAGCAGGGAAAACGCGCATTCCATCCCGGGGAGGCCTCTGGGAATGGCACCCGGAGGAGGTCTGGGTGGGAAAATGGGGTTTTTGCCCAGAAAATCCCATCCCTGCTAAAACTGGGCATGACTGGTGCGTATTGCTCGGGTGGGTTTTGCTTTTCCCTTTGGAATGCTGCTTCCTCAAGGTCAGATCCTCGGGATGACTCTGGAGCACTCCCCAAAGTCACCTCGGGCTGTTCCCGGCTGGGTCCCGGCGGAGGGGCAGTGCCGAGGGCCGGGGAGATGCGGGAATTGCGGGAAAAGCTGGAATTCTGACATGCCCAGCAGAGGCCCGGCTGCTTTAAGATGGATCCTGTGGCGCTGTGGTGTTTCCGGGGTGCTCCTGGCAGCTGCCGAGGACAAAAGCAGGAATCCTGTGACTTTTCCAGGGATGCTGACTCCTTTCTTTCCTGGAAAACCTCCCCCTCTTTGGCAGACACCGAGGGGCTGCTTTGTTCCAAGAAAACTTTGTTTTCTCTTCTGAAAGAAAACTCAAATTTGGCATTTTCTGCTCGATTTCTATTTTTAATTTTGCTGCTTCCCAGTTCAGGGCTGGGCCTTTGCTGCTTTTCCCATTTTCTTTTTTTTTTTTTTGGTGTGGTTGTAACGTGAATCCAACATAAATAATGCATGGAAAAGCGCTCGGCTGGCAGGGAGAAGTTGTTTGGTTGGAAAAGTGACTTTGTTTAGAGGAGTTGGGACCTGGGCCTGGTTTTGTGTTAATTCTGAGCTTAACAAAGCTCCATCCTCATCCTCGTCCTCATCCCAAGGGTTTTGGTTTAACCTCAGCCCAATCTAATCATCCTTTCTCCCAACTGATGATTAAATGGGGAATATCCAAAGTTTTCCAAATTAATGAATCAGGATTTGTTTCCCTCTCATTCTCTCTGGGGGTTTTGAGGGAGGAATAAAATCCCCCAAAATCCACTGGAAAAACTCCACCCCAAAGGATCCCAAAAATGGGGGAAAATATTGAATAATAATGGGAAAAATGAGGATTTCTCTCCATGTTTTTGCTCCTGGCAGGTGGTTGGGGTACTCCGAGTAGGATACTCATGGGATACTCCTGGGTGTAGAGGGGTTGTACCCTGAAATCTCAGGGATGAGCAGGAAAGGGGTTGGGATCAGGTGTGAACCACAAAGTGAGTCTGGAGCAGAATGGAGATGGGAATCTGGGAATTCCATCCCAGGAAACTCTTGGAGATTCCCAAGAATGTGAGAAAAGGGATGGACATGAGCAGCAGGAAAAAGGATTTTTTTTGGTGCTTCCTTTGTGGGGAAAAGGGGGAATAAATGGATTTAAGGAAATTTCACTTCCTACTGGAGCTGTCCTTAATCCCAGTGCTCCATCCCAGGTGGGGTGACCTTGGGAAAAGGAATTATCCACAGGGATCATGGTCCTGGATCAGATCCTGCCTCTGGTCCTGTCACCTGCTCTGCCCTGCTGAGAAAAATGGGGAAGTGCTGGGATTCTCCAAAGAAATATTCCCTGGATAAGAATGTGTTTTATCCAGAAATTCAAAATATAGTAGGAGTGGAGAAATTCTGGGATGCTCCAAGGAAATATTCCCTGGATAAAGATGACTTTTATCCAGAAATTCAGAATATGGCAGGAATGGGACAGTTCTGGGATGTTCCATGGAAACATCCCCCGGTAAAGATCAGAGTTATTCAGAAATGCAGAAATTATCAGGAATTTGGTGGTTATGGGATGCTCCAAGGAAATATTCCCTGGAGAAAGATGGGTTTTATCCAGAAGTGCAGAAATTAGCAGGAATGTGGCAGTTCTGGGATGCTCCAAGGAAATATTCCCTGGATAAAGACCAGTGGAGCTCACCTGGGCAGGGGGGACTTGGAAAGGGAACTGGAAACTTTGGAATTTGTTGGTTCCATCTGGAGCTTTGGAATTTTTCGTCTCCATCCTGCCCTTGCTCAGGGAAGGAGGAGTCTCCAGGGGAAAAGTTTGGGATTTGTTTGATGAATCTGGGAAAATGGAACAGCCCCATTCCCAGGACGTTCCTCAGGCTCTGATTTTATCTGGGAGCACTCGGCAGGAATTTCTGGATTTGTTTTCCACGTGGGGGTGGATTTTCTGTGGGGTTGCAATTTACTCGTCTGGGTAGCACCAACCCTCGAAATCCCAGCAGAACTTCATTCTCAGGGAGAAAAACCTGGAAGTTCAGGCAGAATTCCTTCATTTCTTTGCTTTCTGGGAGCTGTGGAATTCACTGTTTTCCTCACTTTTCCAGTGCAGCTGAATTGGGAGGATTCAAACCCAGTGAGAAAATCAGATTTTCAGAAAAAACCCCCAGATTTTATTTGAATTTAAGAATCAAAACCTGTGGGGAGACTCCTAAAAAAAAAAAAAAAAAACAAAAAAACACAAGGAAAAAAGCTCTGGCACTTTCCTTTACTCCTCGGGTTTCGTTTGCCCTTCCCAAAATATTCCTAAACCCTGCCAGGATCCATCCAGGGCTTGGATTCCCTTACAATTTTGTCAGATCTTGTCAGGGAGGTCTGGATTCCTTCCTGCCCCGGAGGGAATTCCTTTCCAACCTCATTTTCCTCATTTTCTGTGTTGTTGGATGACTTCTGCTGCACCTTTTCCATTTCCCCCTCCTCTTCCCGAAGCCCCTTCGTTCCTTTCTGGGCTGTCCAGGATAATTATTGCGTAATTCCAGGGATTCCGGCTCGGAATGAACTTGCTGGAAGTTGAAATGTTCCATAATCCCCATCCCCCTCCTTTTCCCTTTCTTTCCCCCTTTAATCCCGAGCTGAAAGAAACCGGGCTGGGTTATTACGGATTAAAAAAGAGGAGGATTTATCCCTCGGCTTATTGGGATCACCATTCCCACTTAATGAGATCGGGGGACAAGGATTATCCATGGAAAAAAACAGGGATGAGTTCGCATGGACAGAAATTCCTGACAACGCCTCCTTATGTTCCTTTGGATTTCATCCTGGAATTTTGAGACCCAGTCCTGTTTTCCTCAGGGGTGCAACTGGGAGGGAGCATCCAAAGGGCACAGGAGAGAGGGAATAGCAGACAATTTCCCGTAAAAGGAGAATTTGGGGTTTTTTTTCCTTGCATTCCTCTGCCTGCGAGCCTTAAGCAAGAGGTTGGCGCATTCCCAGTTTGCTGGAGGAGAATCCAAAGGGAAGGGGGAGCTTTGTGCAATCCAGGCTTGGGAAGAGCTGATAAATCCCTGTCCTGGATTCCGGGATGCTCCTTTCGCACCTCTGGAAGCAAACCTGGATCCTCACAGGGAGTGGGAAAACAGGAGCACAACCCCCGGGGTTGGTGCAAGGTGAAGCCGGAGGTTCATCGCAATTCCTGGCAGGTTTTCCGCTGCTTTCCGCCTCCTTGGCAGCGGAATTTTGCTCCCTTTCCCAGGGACAGTCGGAATCTGATCCCGCGGCTCTGTCAGCCTGAATCCCAAATTCCTCCTGAAATTTCCTGGCATGGATAGGCCGGGCTGGCAGCTCCAGTGGGAGCTGGGAGGGCGGGAAGGTTCTGCTTGGATCTGTGGAAAATGCACCAAAATTCCCTTTTCCCCTCTGACTTGTTCCCTTTTCCTGCTTATCCCACAGATCTCCGAGTTCAAAGAGCTGCAGAATCATGGAATAATTTGGGTTGGAAAATTAAAGCTCATCCTATTCCAGGCAGGGACAACTTCCCCTATCCCAGGTTGCTCCAAGCTGGCCTTGGACAATTCCAGGGATGGGGCAGCCACAAATTCTCTGGAAAACGTGGGAATGCCAAAGCTGGGAATGTCCGTGGGTAGGAAAATCCTCCTGGATCCGGCCGCTCTCCAGGGTGCTGAAGCCCCTCCGGGGGATTTGGGAACTCCACGTTATTCCCTGAGTTCCCATCTCCCTGCTCCCACTGGAATCCAGGATGAAAAGGGAAAACGGGGACACATTGGAAGGACAGAATGCAGGGAATGTGGGAATTCCCCCCTTTTCCACCCCCAGTGTGGTTTTTAAGCTGCAGTTTGGATGCTGGGTGGTCTCCACAATTTAGGACAGATTAAAAAACCCACGTGGGTAAAGCCTGGCTCTGCTGGGCTGAGCTTAGGGCTGATCCTGATGGTGGTGAACCCCTGAGGTAATTCCAGCTGGAATTGTTTGGGGATCTGGCTGCATCCGGGATTTTTGGGAGCAGGGAACAAAATCCGCTCCCTCTTTTTGTGGCTTTGGGGAATTTTCTCCTCCTGGACAGAGCTTAGCTGCCCATCATTTAGGAGCAGATTTATTGGACGTTCCCAGAAGCTTTTATTGGATATTCCCAGCAGTTTTTATTGGATATTCCCAGAAGTTTTTATTGGATATTCCAAGTAGGTTTTGGTGGATATTCAGAGCAGTTTTTTTGCATATTCACAGCAGTTTTTATTGGCCATTCCCTGCAGTTTTTATTGAATATTCAGAGTAAGTTTTATTGGATATTCACAACGGTTTTATTGGATATTTGCAACAGTTTTTGGTTGAAATTCAGAGCAGGTTTTGTTGGATATTCAGAGTGGTTCTTTTGGATATTCCCAGCTGGGTTTTTTTTGTATTCCTGTCAGGTTTTATTTGATAATCCCAGCAGTTTTCATAGGATAATCCTCCAACCTGTGGGCAGGAAAAGAATCCCAGTCCTCCCTTTTTCCCCACGTGAAGATGAAGCCAATCCTACAGGCTC